AATAGGTATTCCTCTTCGGTTTTTATTGATTCAAATTCCTCTTTGAAATTTTAATTTCTAGGTTCAATTTATTGATCCTAAGGAAACTAAAAAAATCGACTATTCCATGCAATGTGTTGAATTGTTTTGAATTATTAATAAAAATAAAACAACTTCTGAACAGTCAAAACATCATTTAAGACAATTGTTAGCTACATGATTATCAAGTTAGAATAATGGCGGACAATTGTGATGCAGGAAACGTATTCCTATGCAATTGTCTAAACTAATCATGGCATCTATGTAAAAACAATTCTTTATGCATTCCGTGATTTTTATATGCTTGATGTACACTGTCAGTCAACTTGTATGTAGAATAAAAAATTGCAATAAATTTAATATATATTAGTGAATAATTTATTTGTACATATTGTAGTGCAGTAGGTGAAGGTAGTGCAGTCAAACATGAGTTTTTGATGGAATCAGAGTTTTGAAGGACCCTTCATGCCACATTAAAAATCTTAGCGGATATAGTTTACTTACAGGGAAGAGACGCCATTTTTGCTCGTCGTGCACAGTAATCTCAAGGTCACATCTTCCCGAGTTCGCAGAAGAAGGGTACAGGAAGAAGAGGGGAAGTCTTACGCCCACGGGGCGCCGCGGCGTATGTCGCCTCCCCATGTGCGAAACACGAGGAAAGACGAACGCAATACCAGGGCAACGGGGTCTTCCTGGGTGAGAGATAGCCTGCTCGATGAAGGTAGTGCCATTGATGCACTTTGTAGAACAGAATGTTAACTTTTGTGCCAGTTCGATTTCGGTTCCGTTTCATACATAAGAGACACATACACACCAAAGTTAAGTACACCACACTTAAGTGTTCTTTATTCGGCGATAAATAGGCAGAGACGGTGCCAATCCATAGGTGGCTCAGCGGTTTAGGAGGAGGCTGAAAGATCGCACCACGCCCTGTGCGTTTGAAGAGAGCATCGATTGACTCAGCGCTCGTTCTAATGAATTATTAGAAAGAAAAATAGTTTGAAGAAACGAAATTTTATACACATATTTGTGGTGAAACATTTCTTTGCTTTGCTTTTTGCTGGTGGTGCCATGTCACTCTGGCACTATCCTACAAGTCGCCACTGGTACCAAGAGACCAGGTTTTTGTTTTCGTCATTCACACTGTTTTTGGCAAAACGACTTATAAAAATTTACAATTTGTTAAGTTGACAATTGATTTTAACAAATGAAGTGCGCATGCCGCGTAGTCCCCGTAAGTAAACTTCTGAACAATACAAACTGAACGTGAAATTCAGTTGATATTTTTCATCCTAGAAATTAATTTTATAGCCAACGCAGTATAAGTGCGGCCGACGCACTTTTCCTGTGGAATTGTGACGCTTCACTACGCGTGTCCGAGTTGAGGACGAGGTTGGGACCATCGACCCTCGCGTTTACACGAAACATCCTTGAGACTGTTCAAAGCATTTTATGCGAATACTCACCTTAAAAGTCGTTGAGCGTTCATCCTAGAATAGTATTATATTGACCCATACGAACTACAGCAATGAACCATAATTATAACATGAGAAATAATCATTAAAGGCAACCGTGACACCAACAACTTCCGATCAACTAATTTTGTTCCTCAAAATTTTAAGCCCGGAGTCCGAACCATTGAATCATAAAAATATCAGGCTTATTATATAAGATATTTTATTTTTTTAAAAATTGCATTGGCTTCAGTGCCACACAATAGCGTACCGAAATGAGTGTGGGCCCGCCCGCAAAACATTTATCCGGCCCCCTTTATTAAAGTGTAAAGTTAACACACGTAGTGTTACTGCCGTAAATAATAAAAATATACCTCCAAAACGGTCCCGAACGTTACGCCACTGGTGCCACAATATTGTGTGGAGTATTTTGGAGTACACTGCACATGACACTACAAATATTTGAACATTTCTGAAAAATGTTTCCAAATATTTTAGTTAGTATATTCTGAGTACACACACACACACACACACACACACATTGAACAATGTGGAGAAAGTTCTATTTTATTAATACATAACTTCACAAATTTTCATCTTATTTCAAACTGTTTGTACCATCTGTTTGCATTATGCTCCTGACCAAAGATGAAAAATGTATGCCTAAATTTATAATTTTTGATCTGTTTAAAGGTTTTTTAAGTCTGAATTTTTGTTGTGATGATAATCTATGTTTTCTGTTGTTTTTTTTTTATTTTTGTTTCTTTTTTAACACTGTTATCACAGTTCTCTAAAATGAAGATGAAATAAATGAAAAATAAATAAATGTGTTGAACTACTATATTTGATTTGTTGTTCAGGAAGTCAATTTCTTACAAAACTGTAAACTCAAATTACACTTCACCTTTTCAGTTCAGAGTGTAATTTCTTTAAATCTTTCTTTATTTAACATGCGTGCACCAGTAGCTGAATTACATAACCAAGTTCCATGAAGTTACCAAAGTTAAACAGCTCAAGACACCACGAGCCCCTGGCTGACAGGAATAAAAGGCAAAGACTTACAACTTAATATATGACTGACAATGTTCAGGGAGAATGACACCACATTCAGTGCCAAAAAGAATTATTATGTTGTTATACAAGTACAGAAAAAATTAAGAAACACTTAAAAAACGAGTGTATGTTAAGGAGGGGAGCACACAAGTTTTCTCAGAAGTTATTCACAATTTCCCTTGAAGCCTATTGTTCACTTCTGATAAGCACACTACAGTTTAAAAAAAACTGATCTATTATAATTAGGTCTGATGAAAAAATAATACACATCTAAAGCATCAACAGCTGTTTTGGAATTGTTATTTTATTTATTGTCTTTCTATTAGTTCCATTTATTCCCCCTTTTTTGTTTAACTTGGAGAATTTTGCAACCTTGTCCAAATATTTCACTATAATAAAAAAACCTACTTGAACTTGTATTAAAACTGAACAGAGACCGAACCAATAAAACACATTCTGTCCGAGATGTCATTACTGGATCACCCTTCCACAAGATATCACAGATCCAATCATGGCCACCTTCAAGAGGATGTTGGGTTACCACTTAGCTGAACACTTTGTTAACAGAATTATTTAGTACTAAACCAATGTAATGTATGCACTCTTGTACAGGGAAGTATGCTTCTGGTATCCCAGTCTTAGATTGATTAATTTGTTATTTGGGGCACATGAACTACAGTCATTAGTCCTGCAGGTGGTTAATACAAGAGGTGGTTTTCTTCCCCTATTGTATGGTGAGATCCGGCATCGACCTACCATCAGTTTGCAGGGTTTTCCCACATTCAGGCACATCCCACCAGCAGGGCCCGCCCCAGCTGGGACAAGCTCTACACTTCCAACATATGTGGTAGCATAGTGCATGGGAGCATAAGGATAGGTAAGGATAAGTAAGAGAAGATCATGATAAATAATGACCTGCTTATTACAGTGCTGTTACAGCATTCATCTAGTATTGAACGGAGAAACCATGGAAAACTACTTACCAGAGCACATGGCTGCTAGAATTCTCCTTGAAACAACTGAATTCCACTTAGCTATCTAGCTAGTATTGAAAATCCTACCACAGTCAGGACTCAAACCCTAGGACCTCCTAGCATTGCAGTGATATCTTGGGCCATCTCAGCCTGAGCCATCTTAGTCTGATACTTAGAATAGCAAAATATCCTAAAGTACAGGTGATCACTGCGATTCTGCCAGCATGTTATCTACAGTTCATATTCATTGTTTTGTTGCCTTTTCAATTTATAGTCTGTACTACTTGAAGTGTATTAGTAGTGAGTGGGGGCAGGAAATTGCCTGCCTGTTTTAATAAAAATAAATTTTATAAACAATTGTAACTGGCATTGAAGATTTATTTTTTGGTTTTGTGAAGGGTTGAGGTCCATATTTTTTGACAGACAAATTTTTGTAATATTTATTTTTTTCATAATCATACAATGGTTTCAGGGATTGTTGGCCCCATCATCAGGCTTTATTTAGTAGACCTCTTAATAATAATAAGTTTAGCTGCTAATACATTATGATTATGTTATGTGGTGATTTCATGGTTCCTTCAATCAAAACTAGATGAATATGCAGACTGTATGCAATCTTTCCTCCTCTTCCTAGTCCTATCCTCTCCCGTCACACACAATTACTTGTAAATGCATTACACTTGTCAGGAGCTGGGGGATATGTCTAGAGAGGGAATTCCCCGCAAAGTGCTGGTTCTCACAATACAGAGAGGAAGGAATTACTGCTGCCTCCTGGGATAAAAAAACATTCGCGATACTAGCAAGACTAATGACCATAGCAGTTGGTATAACCAGAAACATCTGTCAATCAATCTGAATCAATCAATAACCAGTCTTTTAGAATCAATTTAATGACCATGAATGTACCGCTCTCCTCTCACCTTCAGACCACCACAGATTTTATTAGATTAAATCTTTGTAAGTGACTGGAATTTGACCTTGTATCTTTAAAAATAGCTGTGATAACAATTAGGGTCAAGAGACTCTTCCAAAATTGCATTCTAATTTCCCAAGACTCCTAACAACAGCAGTAATGAGAGAACTTCATGACAGACTTTACTTGTGGGCTAGACTGGATTTATTTCACCTGTGCATTTGGCTGTGATGTGCTTTCTGTAACCAGTTACGTTACATTACTTGGTGTAACCTGCTAACATATTTATTTATTAGGTCTAGAGTTCTTTTGGCCATAAAAGAGCCATCTTTAGTGTCATATGTGAATGGTAGCAAGTCATGCATAACTTGGGCACAATGCTAATATACAATGTAGTCAATACAAGGGAAACTACATTACCACATTTCTTAGTGTGTTCTTTGTATATTCTTTGAGTGAAAACAACAGTTAACAAATTAATGTATTATAAATTTATTAAAATGACAGGAAGAAGAAAAATGTCATCATTTTATGAGTTATTTATAGCAAATGCAATACTCTGCTGACAAAATTCGTCTTACAAATCCAAGCAAACAAAAAACACCTTCAATATTTCCCTCAAAATATTCATTGATTATTTAAGTGAGAAAAGAAAAAGAACCAGAATATTTATCCATTTTTGTTTAAAAAATAATTCTAATTTTATTAACAACCTATAATTCTAAAAGAATTTTCTTCGCTCTTTGCCTGTATATATTTGTACAAAACTTAAACACAAAACTTAAATGTATGTATTAATTGATAAAGGTTTATCAAGTTTGTTAGCAATGATAAAGGCACAAAAATACTTTACAGACTAATAAAAATTTTCAAATGTCTTTTATGAATAGGGACATTACTTTGACAATGTTGGAAATTTTCTTAGATAAAAATATTTTTCCAAAATTTCTTTTTAGTTTTTACATGAATGTCATAAATTTGTGATTATCCAGTCTTTGGAGGTTTATTTCTCTGCTGTGTTTAGAAATCATTCTTCTAACTTGCACTTACCATCAACAGAGTCAAATTTGTAAAATTGTTATCTCATTTAACTTACTAAAACTCACCTTTAATAAAAAAGTATGACTGATACATCAGAGAATGTTATTTCAAATCTATTTGCATTTACAGTGTTTTTTACATGATACTTAAATAAAATAAATGTAGTTTCAAGTTGAAAATAGGAAATGGAAAGCTCAGAATCCTTGTAAAATAACTTCAGTTAGCATTTCATTTGATTTCTTCACTCTGTACGAATGTAAAACTAAGACCCCATTGTCACCATTGGGAAGGAACCATCATAATTTTCACAATGCAAGATATTCTTACTCTTAAAAATGAAACTTTATTTCATTTCACACAGACACTTACTGTACACGTGAAGGAAAAAAATATATCCACAAATAAACGTAGTTAGTAATGACATTGTTGGCTAAGACTTTAAATTTGTGCGAAGAGATATCAAAATTAAACAAAGTGTTCCAGCATAATAAGTGCTTCATTATTTAACATATTTCTGTCTAGTGTATACATTAAATCTTTGTAAAAAAGTTTACACAGAGCTTTCAAGCAGAATTTTCATAAATGGGAGCATGCAGAGTGTACTAAACATGATAATATAATGTATGATAAAGTTTCCAGCATAATTTACAAATCTGCAGATGGCTTAATTCCTTGTAAGTGATGGATCTAATAAATAGATCCAATAAATATTATATAAAGGAAAAAACAAGACAATATCAATTTTTTAAAGATTGATTTGGAATCTAATAATGCAATGCAAACTTCAGATACATTGAACATATCATTTGAAACCCAATATTGTCAACTATCATAAACATAGCATTTCATAGGGTTAAACATGAAATACTCAAAACAACTAACAAGTCACATGAATAAATGCACTGATTTTCCTGCATCACATTTTATTACATTAGGAATTAATTAATGAACTCCCAATGGAATTTGTATTTTCTTCTCCATATTTTATGAAGATTACATAATTCCTAATTCAAAGTGGTCAACTACATTTAACATACAGCTTAACATGCCAAGGTTATATTCAGATATAGAAGATTGTTGATATCACACGTTGTAACAACTAATGCAGAGAGTGCATACAATCTATAATTCACAAGATCACATGTATTCATCAACTCAAAGAAATACGACCTGATTTCACAAAGAATCATACCTTAAGAATAAAGCACAAACTATTTTCAAGATAAGGACAGTAGCAAATTTCAGTTTATTTAATACCCAAGAAATAACTTGTTAAGAACAAGAATTAAATCTTCAGAATACTTAAATTTGATTCTAAATATTGAAACAATTAATCAGTCTGTTTTAACAATACTGTAAAATCAGCAAAGCAAGAAAACATATAAACAAAAGTTAGTAGTATATAGGAATGATTACTAATGGTAACAAATTGCCATAATATTCTTGGTCAAAAAGACCTAAAAGAATGATATGAAAACTGTATTAGGCATAATCATGCATTAAATTTGCACAATATACAGATTTTCTGAAACATTTCACTTTACTCAGCAAGTTATCATGAATCAGCGCTTCTATACATTTTCCTATTTATATACTGATGATTAAAGTATTTCTTACATTCATTTAACAGAACAATTCAATCATTCTCTCTATACTTTGTCTATTTAATGTACATTATCCCAACCAGTGGAAGAAAATCAGTTAAGCAGTGCGAAGAATAATATGAATTCCAGAATCTGTTGTAACTGGCTCACTTAATTCGCCAACCTTGAGAGCAAATGCTGCTTGTTCAAATGGTCGCTGCATTGCACCTCGGGCAAATAGGCCTAATTCACCACCACGACGGGCTGAACTGCAGTCTGAGTATTTCTGAGCTAGTTCAAAAAACGATGCACGTCCTGAAACTATTTGTTCTCGATATGCTAAAAAATAAAAATAGATCACATGGAAATATTAGATCAAAGATATATGACACTGATGTACAAATGTGAATGAAAATAAATTATCTTTGAAATAAATTTCTACATTAACATAACACATAAACTACAAAAAACTTAAAAATCTGAAATGGGAAGTAAAAAGAACATTTTTCATAAGTTGAATTACTAACATTTTATTAAATCAAGGGCCTCTTCTTTAGTTCGTGTTATCTCCTCTTCTCGCCAAGAAGATGGCCTTCTAGAATGTTGGTGTTTTACAAGCAAATGACTACATTGAACCTGCTCTGGGCCACTACTAGAAACGGGCTCTGCAGGTTTATCTGGTCGATCCCATTGGCTTTCCTTTGTGTAGATGTTGAGGTAGTAATGTTGACCTAAGCAAAAATACTTTATCATCAATTGTTTTATAATTAAATATAGATAGCATTACAAATTTAATAACAAATCAATTTCCAAAAGGCTGAATTATTTAAAAATAATGTTTATAAGAGGTAAAGTCCAAAGTGGGATTAAAACCCACACAACTTTTACACATAATATATGCTAGAAACGAATTTACTGACGGGAAAGTACAAAAATCCCGCTGACATTTGAAAATGATTATGGGAAGGAGAATCTCAATCCCTTCCCTTGTCCCTAGCCAATAAACTGCTTCTTCCAATGCCCCAACCTTGTACTGATTTGTCGACCGAACCGTAAATAAGGCGCGGGTTGCTCCAGGATTTTGAATTCACTATAACTTAAGTAGGAATTAATTATTGTATAGTTTTCAATAGAAAATAAGGGAATAGGGATGGGCTCGTTAGCGAGTATTAAGCGTGTGAGTGTTAAGTAGATTTCAGTCATTGCCTCCAGAGGATACATTTGAGGTAGCAAATAGGTTCTTTTTATTAAAATCATTCATTAGTGCATGGAGTTCACAATGTGAGAAAGGTTCTCGCAACCTATCATTTTATTATAAATCAAGACGCCAAAACGTGCATCGTCCCAAGCATATACCAGAGCAGGGTACAGAGCAAGGTGCAACTAAAAGTAGGGAATGTAGAAATTCATTGCACTAGCACTATCTAGACAGACCGAACGACTTAGTAGTGTAAAAAAATCTCGTGATAACTTCGAGATGAATGTGCAGGATTATGATCGATTAGGATAACCATGGCGGGGCACTATAAATGTCTCGACAATTTCCAAAATGAAATAAATTTACTCCGCGATAACAGGACCGTGAGAACAATTCACTTACACACGAAAACTAACAAAAGTGAGATAAATTGTTAACACAAAACTGGCCGGCATGCTTTATTGTTATCTAACCCTTGCAAGAGTGGATTCGCGTCACCCGAGCGAAGGCATTTCCAGGTATTGATGCACTGCCGGTTACACTAAATTTTTGTAAGTGGGAAAACTACTGCACTGAACAATTTTTGGTATTAGCGTAAGTGTAGCTATTGATCCAAGACACACCTATTCGAGCCTACCAACAAGTAGTAATCGACAAACCAACGCATCCGAAACCGATTCAGAGCTGTGGCGGTTGCAACATCTAATCGGCATTCGATAAATACAAAAAAATTAAGACACACACCAGTAGACCTGCTCAATCGCTTTTCCCACCCCGATGGTAACTCTTCCTCCGCCATTGTTCAACCGGAAGTTCCACTGTTTAGTCTCTGCTGCAGCTCGAAGTAAAACGTGAACAGATAAATAACGGAATTACAGCAATGTGAGCAACTCACTATTCGGGTCTTGCTTAGGACCTACGGATTGTGTTTTCTTCTCTCGCGTTGGACGACTGCGTTGGGAGAATGGCGGGGGGCGTGCCTTTGGGACCAATCAGAAAGCTCGTTACGGCCCGCTTAGATTTCCGCATACTTGGCAACCGAATGGCGGCGTGAGAGCACCTTCTGACACTGCACAGCACAGTTGAAAGTGTCGGGGAGCGGATGGTAGTGTGGAGGTGTAGTTCGTATTTTTTTGTGATAGTGGTTTTTTCGTCGAAGTGGACGTAACATTTTTTGCAGTAAAACTTCTTTTCACTGTAAGTATGATTCTCAAAATGTTTTGATTATCATTTACTTTTTTTCTGTTCTTGAAAGGGGGCGTAACACTTGTAAACAAATGACAGGTTGTATTGTTATTCGGTAAAGAATACGTATGAAGGTTTTGAAATAATTCAAGTAGTGTACATACTGTCACTGAAATTCCATTGGAAGGTTTTTTTCTTTTCTGAAATGTGTGACATGATACTGTTACATTGCCTCGTGACCATAACCTCAAAACTCGAATAATGTTTCAGAATTATGGAACATCAGATTTTGCAAGAATCAATGTTGCTCCGAATGTTATCTCAAAATTAATCTTTTTTGTGCTCTATAGAATTTTATTGTATACATTGGGAGTCGTTCTATCAACTAGTTAGTTAAAATGTCAAAAGTACACATTAGTGTACATTTAAATTGGTATAAACGTGTACAATTCACATTTATAATGTAAATGCTTATTTGTATTTTTTTAACATGGTAAACAGTATCGTTTTAGGTAATGCACATTACTTTTTATTTTGCTTCAGGTTCATGTAAAAGTGAAGTCAGGAAATTTTCTCAAACGACCTGTCAATAACCACAGGTGTTTTACAAATATTTCCTGAACTTGAACAATCCTATTTCCTACAGGATCGTAATTCACGGTAAATGTGAAAAGTGTGATCCACATCGTTTTCTAGTGAAGCTAGAGAACTTCAAATCGCTGACACCAATTTCTAAGTTGATAACTGCAAACATACTGATTAAATTAGTGAAAAAATACACATTATCAGTAAGGGCTATTGAGATTGTTTTTATTTACCCTAAAAAATGTAAACGAAGTAAAAAGCTTATAATGACATGCAGGAAAAGTACAATTTTGGACATTAAATCTCAATTTCGCATTTAAAACTGAGGAACCAATATCTATTGATCATTAATGTGAAGTGTTCAGAAATAATGCACGAGATTTAAGTTAGGATGGTATTTAATTTCATACAGTGCGTTTTATTATTTTCTTTTACGTAAAATTGTAAGTCTGTTGACTACGAATTGTGGTTTTCGGAGGGAAACCACTCTTCTACGTCCTACATCCGTTCCCACGTCAAAAAGCTGTTTATTTTATTTTTTACCCCGGGTCTTGACATCTTGAAAATCTCCCTTGTTTTATTTATTTATATATCGACATAAACGTTTCCTTTTCGGTACAGAGATACAAAAGCCAAAAACCTCCCTTACAGTTATTTTAATTAAGCTAGTTAAAGAAGATTAAAAGGGTTTTCCAGTTTCCGTAAATACATTCAAATTCTCTAGCAGTAGTATTTACCGAATCATGTTTCGTTTTTAAAAATGACTAATATGCAATACAGCCAATTAAACATTGTCGAATATAGTAAATGTTAAAAATGTAAATTCTTTTTAAAAAATTATCAATTGCCTGAAAGGCTAAAGTGCAACATCTCTTCCCGAATGTTTACAATAGAATTGTCACGTCTGGAGTGACGAGAGGGGCAACAAATATCGGGTATAGTCAATACCTTCTTTTACTAGTATTAGAACGTATTGGTATACTGCATATTTAACTTTTCTTTCTCTTCTTACGAAGTAAGGAGAAATTTATTATATTGATGTAGAAATTACACTTTTTTTTGTTCTTGTAATTTGGAGTCACGGGGGAGGGGGGGGGCGAAAATACTCGTACTTGTCCCAGAGTTCGAGTTAACGAGGAGTAGACAGGGTACACGGAGTTTTCCATCCGTTTATAAGAATCCCTCCTGCATTTCAAAGAATAGTTATTCCCTTACTTTAGAAGAATTTTACAATAAAGACAATTCTTTTTATCCCACGCAGTTTCTGGGCCCTTTATCTTACGGAACAATCGGAAAGCCGGGAGGCCCTAAATGGTTTCAATTTCCGGTGTCTGTAGAACACAATTTTATTACTTTTCTCCAGGCCAACAAGTATGATCGAAGTGCATGTTAATACGCAGTGTAAGAAACGTGCTTTCATGTCAGCACCTCGCCCAAAACTTCGAACCCTGACCCCTTCGCTCTTGGGTGGCTGTGTGGCTTGTCTGCCGGGCAGCCGCAACGGCCGTTGGCCGTCCTGCGCCTCGCCGCCGCCGCCGCTGCCGCTGCCGTCAGTGGGCGGAGAGGCATCGTCCTCGGCCGTCTGCCCGCCCCGCCCCCGCACTCGCCGCCTGGGCTCGCAACGCTCCGCGAGACACGACGCCCCCGGCGGCGCGGCGCTGAGCCGCGCGAAGCCGCGGCTGGACGCGGACTTCGATCCTAGAGGGCGGGTTGACAGGCGTGGATTAATGCTTTAGCGGGCTACGCTAGTGACGCGACATCGATAACAAAACATCCATGAGCAAAGTTGAAACATCGATATTAATAAATAAACAACAAAAACCCTTCGACATTTTTAAACATTAAGTGTTAAGGCTGGTTTGGTAAGTTGTAACATTACATTCGTGCGCAACGAAGCCGCACTTCATTTTACCATGGCCCAGTTTATAATGAAGATTTACGCGAAAACAAAGTAAAAAACTCCTGAATGTGCGAAATCCGAGGGAAAACGTAGGAATTACCAGGGCGTTGAAGTCGTCTCGGATGAGAGGGAATTTATTCAATGAAGGTAGTACAAACAATGTTCGTTTGCATCGAACACTGACAATGATACCATTCGTTACTGTTTCATATTTTTAACTTTAAAAAAACAGGAGATGGTAATTTTTTGTTAGAAGACATTGTGCACAAAACATCTATGTTAGAAAAAACCTCGACTTTAATGTTCGACGTTTAAAACATCCATGTTTCTATAAAAAAAACATCGATGTTTTGGCCCCCTGTTGAATAGAGGTCCCGGATTATTTTTGAACACCCGTTTTAAATCAATTCATGAACACGTAAGAACAATTTAACCCGGGATGGGTCGCGCGTGAGAATTTGGACCTCAGGCTTTATTATTTTATGTACAGTTTTGTTTAAGAATGTTCAATATCCTTTTGATTTTCCCTACCTTTCTCCTAATCTTTTATCTACAAAATCCATACTTCATCACATGATTTGCAGTCTGTCAATTCTCGGTAACTATTTTCGTCTAGCACCCTCTTCCAATTGTCTATGACATAACGCAACTTTCAGGATAATAAAACATTACTGATACTTCAAAAATTGAAACAAGAATTGCGGACGAAACATTGCATCTTATACGCCGTTCATGTATTCGGAGATTAATACTAACAGGATTGCCGCGAGAGTTGATACCTAAAATGTTGCTATTATTTGCATTCAGAATAAAATTAAGAAGCAGAAGTTCCAAACAAAAAAAAACTAACAAGGCAGATGTGAAAATTGTTCAAAAACTTTGGTTCGCAAGCATCCCATGATTGTGAAAATTAAAAGATAACAATAGTATCCAAAACACATTCATGATTTGTTTGTTAAGATTCTGTGTAAAACTTTAGTAGCGAACGTAACACATTCTTACTCACATTCATATTTACAAGTACTATGAATTAATTTTTTTGCACTCCTTTTCAATTACAAGAAAAATAATGATTCTATACATCAGCAAATATTTGATGAATTTTATAAATTTGTATAAACGATTTTAAATTAAAAACCTCGACATATTAAGTTAAGAGTGTAAGTATCGAATTATGTTAGTTTATGATGTTAGAAGACAACTATATACGTATGAAACGAAATTTTCTCTGGGATCCGTTTTCTCCCATACGACCAGTTACCTTCATAGGCAAGAGGCGATCTCTCCCGGGTTGTTTGTAGGATTGTCTACTATCAGTTTTAAATTGTAAAGTTTATAGTATATTTTTCATGGATATTGATAACACATGTTTGTAATTTATAAATACGTATTCATACATATAGTATTATTAGAGGGGTTGCTAAGGGCTCCTTCAGATAATAATTTGGCCATGGCCGCCGAACAGTTTTTAAGCGTTTGGTGTCCCCATATTTGAAAGTAAAGTTTTCACAAATGTTATTAAGGTAGTAGAACCATACTTTTGGCCATAAAATGACCAGTGAAATTGCGTTGTTAAGTGATTATTTCGTGGGAAAAATTAGATTTCCACAGAATATATACGCGTAGAGTATACGAGTATTTTGGCGAAAATCGGCAGAATTTCCAGTGTCGTTCAAATTACATGATATGTGATATTGATAAAATCAGATAGCTCTGCATTGCACGTGCAGTACTGTAGTTGCAGATCGCTCCCCTCTCTTGAGTGTGGAAGCCGCTCCTGTCGTTGAAAATTTCAACATGGCTGTATTACACTAGTAAGTTAATAATGTGCTTTTGTAAGTATGATAAAACAGTTCCCACCTTAATAACAGCATTAATTGTTTTCGCGTTTCTCTCTACACTGTTCTTGATTAATTAGAATATTTTTTTATTGATTATTGTAACGAAGTTGTAAGGATTGATTATTGTGAGAACTTTGTAGAGGAACCACCTCCTAAAAGGATTATTTTCAAATGAAGCAGATTTTTTCGTATTAGAGCGGAGTGCCTATTCAAATAGGCAAATGGAAAACGCTTTTCATATAGCTTTATTTCACAGATTAGGAATTTGTCTTTCAGACTAAAAAAACATTACTGTGTGTGATACCAGGAAGCAATAAAAGAAATGAAGATGAGAAGTTTTAAATTTAAGTCTAATTTTTTTGTTGACTGCAGCTTTTAATCTTGATAGAAAATATAATGTGTACTTAAAATGCATTCTTTCAAATTATAAATTCAAAACCTTCTTCATCCATTTGTCATTTATTTGGTCAGTTATTGATCCTAAAAATTGTACGGAATGTCTCGTAAACATTTTTCAAATGTTGAAAAACCTTTCTTACCTTTTTCTGCGATATGGATTTGATAGTGATTTCCCAAATTGTTTGCTACTCTACTGGTCCAGCGAAAATTAT